AAAAAAAAAAAAAAAAAAAAATAGAAACTAGTAGGTAGGAATAAAATAGAAGTGAAACTATAACCGAAAAAAAAAGAATATTGAAATAATCAATAAAATCAAATTAACACCTAGGTATTATTATTGAACGATTAGATGTGTTACGAGATAGTAAGAGAACGTTATGTATGTAGTAGAGTCAAGAATAGAAATTGAGGTCTACTAGGCGTTATTTTCAACATAATCATAGGGACTTTAATAACGGTATCGTAATACACACGGTATAATAATATTACTATCGTAAGAACTCGTATATATCGCGTGTAAAAGCGCGAAGACGATGAGATTTTAGTTGTTTACGACGTGGCACGTAGTACGAGTTTGTCGGTCGTTCACCGACTCTTTACGAGCGGACGATGGAATATTTCGGAGGAAAAATCTTCTTCCCCACCTTCCAACCCAACTCAAAATCCTCCTCACCCCTCCCCCCCTCCCCTTCCCCCAACATGCTGCTGGATCCGTAGTCACCACAATCCGATCTTTCTCACACCGACGACTACTTTAGCGAGATAAAGTGTTAAAATTTTTCGGACAAATCACAGGCACTCCTGCTGCTCACGATCTTCCTCCATCCATTTGATCGTAAAAATCTTGTCGTTGATATACCTTTCGTAAAACAAACCAAACTTACAAAGATAATTAACCAATGTTATACTGTCAATGCATTTATTTCAGAGTTTAATCGATATTTAATAAATCCTATGTTTGTCTCTTTTTCTCTCATTATTTAGTATAGCAGCCGTTTCATAGCTTCGTTTCCTGACCGACCGTGTTTCATTTTTTTTCAGATCACTCCCTATTCTAAAGAAGTTTTTAATTCAAAAAAAAAAAAAAAGAAAAAGGAAAAAAGAAAAAAATTAATCAAAAAATTATTATTTAAATACATACATTTATATCTTTCTCATATTTTTATAATATTGTTAAATTAAACTATAAATCAATATAAGAATAAAATCGTAGGATTTATCCTATCATTTATCCTTATTGATCGTCACATGAAAAAAAAAAAAAAAATAAAAATAAACACCTTTTAACTATACCGATTGATTCTAAACCAACCACCCCACCACCATCGATTCATTTTTCTTTAACGAGCACGCGAATTTTTCTCCAAGAATCTTTCGTAAGTTCGACGAATCAACAACAGCAGCAGCAGCTCGTTGGGCCCGAGGGATCGTACAAATTATAATTCCCTTGACTGCTCGAAAGAAGCAGTTGGACGTAGGAAGATGAGAAGAAAAAAGAATAAGAAAAAGAAAAAGAAAAGGAAACAAAAATGAAGAATCAAAGGAGGAGGTGGTGGAAAAGGTGGTAGATGTGGTGGGGTGGTGAAGAGGAGGGGACAAAATAGTCGCTACTTGATGGCGACTTAAGGTGATTTTGAATGGTGGCTAACGACTTGGAGCCGCGTCATGGGGCACACTGTGTGTGCACGACCGCCGTGCCAAATAATAAGAAGTCACGCTGAGCACCCGTGTGTCCTGATGTCCCGATGCCTCGAACGGGCACAACACGTCGCAGATAATGTCCTCCCACGTGGAAACGTCACTATAGTTATTCCCTGGTCCTTAACCTCTTCCTTCTTCTTCTTCTTCTTCTTTTTCTTCTTTTTTTTTAATCTTTTATTCTTCCTTTTTAGTCTTTCCTTTCCTTCTTAGGAGACTAACAGTTTGCTCGAATCTCACGACGTCATGCATAATAACGTCTCTGATTCTCCCTCGATCAAAGCCGACACTCAGAGAGAGAGAGAGAGAGAGAGAGAGAGAGAGAGAGAGAGAGAAAGAGAGAGATAGAGAAAGACTTTATTGCGAATTAACGATTTTTCAAACCCTAAAAGAAACTTGAAAAATCTATCCCCTTTTCTTATTTAATACGTGCCTGCCATAGTATCCTGATAAATTAGTATTTTTTACTTCTTAATACAAGAACGTTGGATTAAAAAGAACTTTGTTAAGTCATTTTGTGTATATATATTATATGCGCGTGTGTGTGTGTGTGTGTGTAATGTATTTGTAACGAATTGCGAGTAATTAATTTTTGTCTCGAAAAGATTTTTGTTTCATTTATTTTTTTGTTCCCCGATGAAGATTAGTTCGCGTTTATATCATACTGGGAATAGATAATACTTGAAACCTCCTGTAGATTGGCCTTGGTTTCGCAATGAGAAGCGATCTCTCGTGAAGAAGAAGAAGAAGAAGAAGAAGAAGAAGAAGACGAAGACAGGTGTAGACTCGTTTTCTTCGCGCCTTTGTAACATTAATAATCGAGATAATTTGTTGGAAACAATCCGCGTGCCGACAGCGGATGAACGATCAAGAGAACCCCATCATTACTGACACAATACTTTTGCAATGTCATTTGTATTCTGCTATTCTCAACTCAAATGCAATGGTTCTTTCTATCTTTCTATCTTTTACCATTTCTCGTTTGTTATTTTTTTTTTTTTTTTTTATTATAATGCATTTCCCTTGAAATTCTAAGATTTGTAAAATGATTGAATGCCATTTTTGTAAATCCTTTGAAAAATATTGAAAATGTTGGAGCACGATTTAAGTTTGTTTTCGTTATCCTCGAGAATAGGAAACCTTTTCCTTTGATTCCACTATATATAGGCACATATATAGAAAAGCTTACTCGGCTATTTTCTAGTTAGAAAAATAATAGTTTATCCTATAACAACTTTAGTCGAGAAAGTCAAACAACATTTTTACATTACCAGTCGCACTAAGGAATAAAGTATTTCGAATCAAAGAGAAAATAATAATCCACCCTTTCTTTTTTTGCTTTCTTTTCATTTCTTTGACTTTTTCTTTTATTATTATTATTATTATTATTATTATTATTATTATTATTATTATTATTATTTTTATACCTGAATCATGAAGATGAAAACGCATAAGGATTTAAGTTTATTTTTATTTCGGAAGCTAAAGGAAATATTTTCACTCTAAGAAATATATATATAATCGTCTTTAACACACCTAATAGAATGTAGTATCGTTTAACGATACAAAAGTATATAAATGTAATTTTAAAAGAAGATAGAAGAAAAATATGTGAACTATAATTACATACAATTATATTATATTCAAAATCTCTCTCTCTCTCTCTCTCTCTCTTTCTCTTTCTCTTTCTCTTAACAAATATTGATGATTTTCAAAAGTCATTCGATAAATGACTAAACACCCTATGAAAATTTTCGACACGATTCGTACAGAAGTTTAAAATTTCAGTGACATATACGCATGCAAAGGAATCGAAGGAAAGTAAAAAAATATAAATAAAAAAAAGCCCCGAACGAGGACAAACTGAACGCAACGGGGAGTCTGATGTTGATCCAACCGAAAAACCACCGCGTGAATCTGATTGTCTATGAGTGTATCAGAATATTCTTTTCTTTTCCTACTTCCTTTTTTATTCGTATATCTTTTTTGACAGGGCGATGTTCTCCTTGATGGACGGCTGACAAGCC